GAATCAGGTGGACTTATCTTACTTTGCTCCCATTTTAAGACTTTTTTACCCTTCTTTTTCTTTTGCCTTACCAAAACGTATGGAACTCACTTAAATTCACTCATTAGCTTCTACACACTAAATCGCATAGGATCCATTTTAATTTATTAGTTTCAGACATTAAATCACACAGGACCCACCTATATATATGCAACTATATGGATACACATGTAAATATGCATATATATTTATATAGTTACATCCATCTATAATATATGCATGTGGATATGCATATATATATATGTGTATCTATATAGTTATATCTATTTATACTCTATGTACGTGGATATGCATATATATATATCCATATATTGTGTGTTCACGTATACGCTATTATATAGATACATATGTGTATACATATATATCTATATAATTGCATAGATATCCATATATTTGTGTCTACGTGGACGCTACTATATAGATATCTATGTGTTAATCACTAAACGACGAAAAAATTTAAGTTAAAAAATATAAAATGGGTATCAAAGTATTAAGAAAAAATTTATATAATTTATAGTGTCAAAATAATTATTTGATTATTTTTTAAATAATAGATAAATAACAACAAACAATTATGGGGAGTGTGTGATATTAATAGAATATTAAATAAAGAAATAATATAGATAAGTAAGCAAAATGGTTAAAACCGTCATTTGTCTCCTCCAAATAATAGAAAAGTATGTCTTTTGATAATTAAAACACAAAAATCCATTTTTTAGACATTAGATAACTCAAAAATACACCTAGTGGTAACACACTCTATTAATTTAGATAACTAAAAATTTCCTTAAATATAAGTTATATCTATAGTCTATAAATATTAATTTAAATAGACTTCCATAAATATAGGTTAGATTTAATTTATTATTTTAAATTTAAATAAGATATTCAAAATAACACATATGATTAACAAATATCTTATTATATTTTTTTAATCATATTCTATCATATTAAAATTTCACATATTGAAAATAGATAAATATTAATATTATATAATAATTTGATGGGAAAAGTTAAATTTTTTTTATAATTATGGTCTTATGCATGTTAAGTTATCAAAGCATGCAAGATATTAGGAGAAAATTATTGCAAAATTAATAAATATTTATATTATAAAGTAATATAAACGGGCGGATTAAAATTATGGTTTCATAATCATAATCCTTTTCGGATTAATAAAATGAACGAGTTAGAAATATATTTTTCTAATAATGCTCACTTTTTGATTAGTAAAATAACCGAATTAAAATTATGTTTTTATGATCATGGTGGTCATAATAATACTAAAAGAAAATTTAAAAAAATTATATCTAAACACAATTTTTTTTATATCACTTATTAAAAAATTATATTTATAAAGAAAACATAAATTAGATTATAAATTTTGATCAAAACAAAATTCTCGTACGGATGCACGCGGTAAAATCTAGTCTTGAATTAAACCCAAAACATAACATGCATCTTTGAAAGTAGGATGGACAACACCATTAATTGTTATTATATCCATATAAAAAAATGGATGCGAACGATATGCAATGGAACCCTCAAGTAGTAGACTTCACCAGCGTTAGAGTTACAGTTGGATATAGTACTCGGTCTAGAGTTGCCGCAAAGACGGGGATGTCATTGACGCTTTTACAATCCCAAACCCAATGGGTTGGAAATTCAGAATACATATACGATATGGCTTCAGGATAGTCATAATTAGACTTCGACCAACCTGTAAATTTATCATTGTAAACATCAGCAGAAAATGTTCATCTTTTCTAAAAACGATTTGAGATGGAGGCAAAAAATATGGCAAAATATAAGGATCACAGAAGGGACGATTGCTAGTCGCTATAGAAAATTCATAAAATTTTAAAGGAACGAACTATTAGGCAATAGATTTACATAAGAAGAACGTCTAAAAGCAGAAAAAAAAATATTTATTCTATTAATCTGATGATTCTATTGTCGAGAGATGAAATATTCAATCAGCGAAGTATGAACTATAAAAAATAGTAGGTTATCATTACGGAAATGCATAAATAATAGTATATATATATATTGATTTTTAAAAAAGACATGGATGAATTTTGAAAAAAGATGCTAGACCTTACAAGACAGACGTTGTATGTAAGAAAGCATGAAGACCGAGAGAAATATATATAGCAAAATGGATATGCTAGGATTTAGGTTAGTACTGAATCTGATATTGGTGGCCCATAACCAAAATTAGTGGCTAGGGCTGACTTCGAGATCGGCGGCCCATAAACAAAATCGCTGGCCCATAATCGAGGGAAAAAAGCCATGTCACGAGTATTTACATGTATGATTAATGATCGACCTATCAGAACTAATTAAAACGCCACATTTTTTTTAAAATGACATGTAGGACAATCGCTGTGGAGACGAAACATCAGTTTTTTAATCTCACAAATAATAGTATAGATAACCACTCTATGAATTATCATAATTTTCTGGTCTAGATAAATATCCGCATATCTGTAACTTTATAATTTTATATTTTATAACTCGTAAAAGTAAAAAAAAAAATTTAAATTTTAAAAACAAAATAAGATCACCCGTGACAATATGTTATGCATAAATTTTAAAATTTATCAACAATTATAATATTATTCAAACACAAAATAATGGAACTATAACAATTAAAAAAGACTATCTTACATTACATTAATATAATAATTATTATTTTATGCATTAACCTAACATGAGTAACATGAAGAAAAAAAATTATCAATGTAAAAAAAAATGAAAAACAAAATGAAATTATCTGTATCAAATATAATACATAAATTTAGAAACAAAAATTTTCGTTGTAATAAATATACCTTGAAAAATTTTTGGTAAAGCATATGCAAAAAATAGTTTTTTGATACGATTATTAGAATTTAATCTTTTGGTGTGTAATTTCTTTTAGAATTTATACTGTATCAAAATATTAGTGATTTCTGTTTAACTGATCTAATGTTAAAAATCTTTATTGTTATTTAAATTTTAAATGTTCATTGTTTTTCTCTTCATATTCTGTAAATGAAAACATTTATTTGATTGTGAGATTAAGGATCTATCAATTTGGTTATATAGAGTAGAGAATTAATTATTTTCAGTATTGTATTTAAATTTTTAGTTTCCTCAATCTAAATATAAATATTAATTATTTTTTTCCTTTTTAGAAAAATTATCTATTCAGGATTGTAAGCTATAGTCTTATTTCTTTATTATAAACTGAAATATTGATATTTTAAAAATATAAACTTAGGCTTTGATTTCTTTTTCTGTTTTATCTTTTTTAAAAAAATTTTAACTACTTAATCTTATTTTTTATTTATTAGAAATTAATTAAACATATGTCAAAATCTTATTATTTTACTTGACACGATTTTTTTGGTTGCGAATTTATAATCTATTGTTTATTTTTTGTTATTTTAAACTCAAAATGTAGAGATGTCACATAGGCTACAACTCGCGGATTAAGCCAATGTAGGTCCGCTGCGGAGCGGGTCTGGACACATAATTGAGTATCTATGATTTTGCGGGTTTAGCGGGTTGTACCCATCGCAGATTGCGGGTTTATTGGGCTAATCTGTCATGGTTTTGCGGGTTTGCGGGTAACCCGTATAAAAGATGAAGTGTTCTTCAAAAAACAAAGTTTTCTGCACCAAATCGGTCAAAGGAAGCTGGTGATGTCATCGCCATAGAGCTCTGCTACCATGAAATGGTGAAACAAGCATTCAAACCCAATTCCGTCACTTACGGCAATAGAATTGATGGGTTCTGCAAAAAAAAACAAAACTTTGGCAAAGCCTTGAGCCTCCTTGAAAAAATGGATCGTGATAAGGTTACATCATGAACTCCATATTTAGTATTGTAAACATTTTATTGAATCAACACTGCCTTAAAGTGGATTTTTACACTATGAACTCCAATCAATTCGTTTGTTTCATCATCATCAACTTTTGGATTTACCAAATTCAATTAAACTTTGAGAAACTCACTACTCAGCTAAAGAGGGTATCAATTTGGCTTCCTAAGAGGTATGGCAACTCTAAATTACAAAGTGGTGAAGTTTCATGTTATGCCATTGTCTTTTTTTCCAAACCGGCAAAGCTTCACAACGTTAACTTCTTGCGGTTTTTATTTTTCCTTCTTCCATTAGAACCATTATTTGTATACTTTTTTGGATTAAAACTTGTATATTTGCTTCTTTCTTTTAATTTGTATATCTGTTGAATTTGTATATTTGGGGAAGAACTAGACCTACAAAAATAACAAAAACATCGAACTAAGATCTGAGCTTTTGTATCAAAATATAGCATCGAGCATCATAATGTATACTTTTTAGTTTTTGCTCGACCCACGTGTTGACCCGCTGATCCGTATGATAATGCAGAGCAGATTTGGACATATATTTCTCATTTGCAACCCCCGGCGAGTTGGTCTGCACAGTTCGCCATAGAAAAATCGCAACGGATTGGGCTACTTGGACGTGGGCCGGCCCGTCTGACATCTCTATTGAAATATAATATTTTTTACCAATTTAAACATAATTTTTTTTCTTCTACTTTTTATGATTAGGAACCAATATTTCTTTTTTCTTAATAAGATTTGCTAAAAATATAATTAAAAATTCATTGAATATATGTGAAAATCTTATCGATTCATTTGATACGTGTTACAATTTAGCGAGTTACTAATTTTGAATATTTTTTTTGTAGACTGAAATCTTGTTTAGTCATAAAAAATACCAAATTTCTTTGGTAAAATCGTGACAAAAACAAAAGGTGGAGTTAAAAATAAAAGAAAAGAGAGGACTTACTTTAAATTTATGAAGGGAAAACGATACACACAGAACGCAACTAGGGTAAAAAATTTGGGACAAGTGTAAACACTAGGGGTCGTTTTGATGTTCCTAAAAAATATTAGAATAAAGGGGAAAAATAAAAACAAAAGGGAAAAATAAAAACAAAAGGGAAAAACAAAATCTACAAGAACAGAAGAGGAAATAACAAAATCTCTTTCGAAAATCTCTACTGTTTCTGCGATATAACTTGCGAAACTCTCTGCTGTTTCGGATCGCAATCGATCTCTCACTGAATGGAAAGGAAATAACAAAATCTCTCAACTAAAGGAAGTCTCTCGCTAATCTCAAATTCGTCACGTCAAAGCCTGCTGAATCTTCAGACTCGTAAGTACTCAGATCTCCGATTTTGGTTTGCCGATTGCGAAATTTGGGATCCTTTTTGCGATTTCTAGATTACCGTTTTGTTTTCTTACGTGAAAAGCAATTAAACAGGCGATCCACAACTAGCGCTAATTAGCTCCTTCACAACCATGAATGGAGAAGAGCCACCTTTGGAAAGAAGACTCACGACAGTGCTGATGCTTCCTGATGATTTGGTATTGAATTGCTTAGCCCGTGTCTCGAGATTGTATTACCCGACTCTCTCCATGGTATGCAAGAGATTCCGCTCGCTTCTTGGTTCAATGGAGCTTTACCAGACTCGAACCCTTTTGGGTCGCACCGAGAGTTGTCTATACGTGTGCTTATCGCTCTCTACCGACTCTAATCCACTACGTTGGTTCACTCTCTGTCAGAGACCACATAGCTCAACAAAAAGTTTGGTTCCGATTTCACCTCCTAATAATCTTTGTGCATCATTGGCGGATGTGGCAGTGGTTGGTCCTAATATCTACGCTATTGGTGGATTGATAAATCGCAAAGATAACAATGCTAATGCTTCGTCTAGCGTCATGGTCATGGACTGTCGTTCTCACAAATGGCGTGAAGCCCCTAGCATGGGGGTAGCCCGTGTGTTCCAATCTACTTGCGTCCTTGATGAGAACATTTATGTAATAGGAGGCTGCGAAAATCTCAATTCAACGAATTGGATGGAAGTTTTTGATACGAATAGCCAAACTTGGAAGTTTTTGCAGATTCACAGCGAGGAGATATGCGTAGGCTCTGAGTACAAAAGCGTTAGTTATGAAGGAACCGTCTATGTGAGGTCTGAGGGAAAAGACGCGACTTATAAACTAAATAAAGGTAGGTGGAGAGCAGCAGACTTAGCGATGAATAATGGATGGGGTCGTTCGTCATCTCATTGTGTGATAGAGAATGTGTTCTACCGTTATAATGGCATGACTGTTGATTGGTATGACTCCAAAGATAGGTTATGGAGAACTTTAAAGGGTTTGGAAATATTGCCAAGGTTATCTCGTTGTGGTCATGTTAAGTTGACGGATTATGGTGGGAAAATGGCGATTTTGTGGGAAGAGTTTGGGTTTGTTAACAACCACAAGGAGAGAATAATTTGGTGTGCTGAAATTGCCATTGAAAAACGCCAAAATAAGGAGATTTGGGCAATGCTAGAGTGGTTTGACGCTGTATCTACAAACAATGAGCCATATAGTTTAGCGCATGCTCTTGTTACTACCATTTGATGAATACGCTGCTATGAGGATGTGGCGCCTATATAGTGCGTCAATGGATCATCTCCAGACTCACCGAGAGAGGCCTTCTCAACATTTTGTTACGAAATCTGGATTTTTATTTATTATGGCATTTGTGTGTGTTTTGATTAGTGAATTCGCTTATTTGAATAACGTAACTTTCGGTTTTGATTATCTTTATTTTCGGTAATATAAAAAGAAAAGCAATTAGTCAAATGAGTGTATATACAATGTTGAACTTAATTTCAATCAAACTCTTGCCACAAAGGGAATATGTTGCAAAGAAGCTATGCAAATAAATTTTGGATTCATTAGTGTCTGAAGAGCTTGATGATACGTCTGATGATTCAACAGAAGACATTTTGTAGTGTTATTGTTACACTGGAACCTTGTCCAGAAGATTAAGATGTGCCTTGACCAGACATAACTTCTTCTGCCTGTGTGGGATAATAGACGGAAACCAAAATCCTTACCTCTTCTGTGACTTCTGCAGGGAAAAGCCTTCCATACTATCAGGGCTACATTTTTCTTATCCCCATACTAATTCGCAAAAGAGACCTGATTCTCTAACTTAATAATCGTCTTAAACCTTGCAATTGAGACGACCCTGATTCCTGATTTTCTCAAAGTACCAACTGTTTTCATCCTCCTCTAAAAGAATAACCAGATGACTCATGGTCCTGCCTGTCATCCTCCAACTAAGCTTAAAGCTTATATGAACAAATGTTTTTAATGGACATGACATTATAAGCTTAGGTGTAGTATATGGAGGAAGGACTGGAGTTAATCAATCAATTAAACGAACAGAAATGCAACTATCATTTATCGACTCAAACAACACAGAGATCTTCCTTTGACGACAACGGCGTCTACAACATCAGTTTAACAAAGAATTCACTGCCTAGGTTTTGTATCTCACGACACCCTGGCATAAAAATAATAAATAGGAAAGTTATACAAACTAAAAACCGAGCCTTGATTTCGATTCATATATTGAAGAAAAAATCTCGAGTTATACAATTCCACTTCATGGCTTTGTTGAAACGTCTCTCTCAAATGGTTTCAGGTGGTTTAAGTCACAAGAAAGTGCTTTCTAGCAATGAACTATAGTAGACATCACTGGCAGGCTTCAACCCAGAGAAGGCACACGAGGTTGCTGGATCATTACTGCAACATATTGAATCAAACATTTGAGAGTCTCTGATTATCAAGAGTCAAAAATCCCGTTGACTAGAATGCACTCATTACCTTTGGCATGTGGCATGTAGCTTCACGCAAATACCCATGTCTTGAATGTGAGAGGTGTAAATCATATGTATTCTGCGAATAGCTTATCTTGGTTATTGTTTTGTTTTTGCATTATTTTGGTGATGGGTGTTGCAGATACATTCAAGGAAAATGAATGTGAATGCAGACGTCAATTCTGAAGAGCTTGCTCGATCAACTGATGATTTTAATGGAGCATGTAGTTAGGATGATAGGAGTTACCTTCTCCAAATCAATCGTTATTGTAGGCAATGTCTTCACGATCATGATCATATGGTAGATTATGTCTCCTTAAATTAAATAAATGGTTGACCTATGATCATATGGTAGATGTCTCCTCAAATCATCTCCATATAATAAATGTTCCAAAGACATTTATGAAAGGTTGCAGAAGAACTATTTGAAAACAATGTCTAGAAAATATTGAAGAAAATTTCTTGAAGAACTGAATGAAAACAAATGTCCAGGAGACATATATGAAAAAGTTTTAGAAGAACTAGATAAAAAGTATATCCAGAAGATATACATGAAAACATTCCTGAAAAATTGCTTAATAACTTTCGTCCAGAAGACGATTAATATATATATACTAACTGATTTACATATAGTTATTAAATTTTTGTTTAGTTATTTATTTATCTAATTTATTTTATTGATTGCAATATGGTTAAAGAAATTGAAACATTTCTTTAAACTTCTGAAAGAGCTAAAAAGTTCTGAAAACTAAAAGGTCAAGAACAGCTAAAAAGTTTTGAAAGTTTTGTAAGAGCTAAAAAGCTCCAGGAGAGTTAAAAAGCTCTGAAAGTTTCAAGAGTTAAAAGCTCCCGAGGAATTAAGAACCGTGGAAATTACATGAATTAAAAACTTTGGAAGAGTTAGAAATTCGGAAGGCTAGAAGCTCTAGAAGAGCTGGAAACTAGATAAAAATTAAAAGTTCCGACAGAGATAGAAGCTCCGGAAGAGCTGGAAACGACAGAAAAATTAAATTTTCGGCAGAGTTAGAAGCTCCAAAAGAGCTAGAAACTCATGAAAAGTTAGAAGTTTTTGAAGAACTAAACACTCTTAAAGAGAAAAATTTAAAGATAGTGGAAAACTCCAAAAGAATAAAATGCTCCAGCAAAGAGAAACGTTCTAGAAAAGTACATGATAGAGACATGCAAAAAGAGGACAAGATTGTTGAAAATAATAAACCCAAAGTTTACTAATATATATAACATAACTGGCTTAAGCTATCCCTGTATAATAATGGTATCAAATATTATTGAAAATTTATGTAAAAAAACCATAAATTTTTCATATATAGCATGACTTAGCGAAAATAAAATAAAAATGAAACTATCATAAGAGATGAATCACCATTTTGGTCAAATGAATTCATTAGATATAATGGTTTGATTTTTTTAATCAGTCTCAAATTATATTCAAGTAAGTTAAAATCAGTTCAAGATGAATGGGCAAGGAAAGACATCATCATAAAGGGTATTAAACGTCCACTAAAGAATTTGATGTGTAATACAAGGCCCAAAAATGAGCTAATTGAATATGTTGTTGGTCCTAAAGTCGGATTTATTTCGAGATGAGTGAATTTGAAGTATCACAATCTCGAAGAAGAAAATTGAATATCCTATATCAAAAGTAGTCAAAATCATGAAGATTATATTCACAGTAATGAATATAGCTTTTGTGGATAATTTATAAAATAAATCCAGAATATCACAAGATCAGCAATGGTAAAATTTAATCTCCATGCTTTGGTATGAAACATTTAATGAACGAGATTTTTCGAAATGAATTATCATTGGAAATTATTGATCTTCGTATAAATGATTTTGAATCTGAAGTTCGAAGAAAAATTCATTTACAAAATTTTATAAATTAACTGTCAGACATACAATTGATACAAAAGAAAATCTCAATTTTAGCTGAAAATGTTCTAATAAGAATATATGTCTTGAAAGATGACTAATCAATAGTAAATCTCTGGCACGTAAAAAACATGCATGATAGACTATATACATATATATATTTAGCAACGCTTCCCTCTCTTACCGGGACTTCTCATGCCACTCATTCCCTATTTCAATTGTTGTGCTTTCTCAAATTGCATACCTATACAAGGGTTTCAAATATGGTGTTAATAAATTTACCGAAGTGAAGCAAGGAACGTAGTAGAGACCCTTACCTAGTGAAGGAAAAAGTTGAGTGAAAGCCTTTCATATATATATATATTCTAGAATTAAAGTCTTTTTAATTTTATCCAAAAGTTTAAATCTTATTTTATTGTTTCAAAATATTGACGAGGTAAACCTTGCTCAGCATGTCTTTCTCCCCTTCCTAACTGGAACTTGAATTTGATGGTGATTAAGAGTATGTATTGTCACTGAAACGAAGGAAAACTCAAAACAACTAGAGTTCTTTCAAGAAAGAGTATGCTTAACACCCTACTTATGAAAACTCAGTGGTGTCCTGGAGCTGAAGGCACTATCTTACCAATGCTTTAAAACTCTACTTATTAGCCAATGTATATTTTGTATCTGTTTGTTGGGATAATCTTGGGCTGCTTCCCTGCAAAATCTGAGCTTAATTTCCTAAGTACTTATAATAGATTTATAGAAAGACTTCACTCTATAAACATACTATAATAGATTTAAAAACATGAGAATGTTTTAAACAACAAACCATGAAGGGGGCATCGACCAACTAATTAGATTAACCAACTAATCCAGGCGAAAACTATTGCAGTTACTGGTTAGAAAATTTTTATAATTAGCTAGATACTGAGGACTTTTTTTCTACTCGGGTTTTGATTAATTTTGTATATAATGTCATTAGCATAAGTCGAGGATGTGAGGTGCATCGCTTGGGCACCTGAGAGAATTTGATAATAAAAAAAAATTGTATAAACATGCTGTTTTTTCTATCATTTTAATATGAGTAAAAAAAAACAATGACATCGACTCTTTGTGTGAACTTCTCCGTTCTTGCATGATTCATTGATTTTACCAACCTAACTTTGAAAAGTAATCAATGTTTTGATAATAAAAAAGGGATAGTAAAGCTGTTTCTTCCGTCCTTTAAATATAAGTCGAATTGACTCAACTTCTCCTTTCTTGCATGTCATTGATTTTACCAACCTAGATTTTAGATAATAATCATTGATCATATGATTGTGAATATCACAGAGGAAATTTTGGTAAACTAAACAAGCATTTCATCTCATTCATTACTCTTTAAGCCTCCACAAACTAAGAAAATGTACATTGTTTACTCTTTATACCTCCAATAAATAAAGAGTACACATCATCTATAACATCATCAGTTACTCTTTACGCCTCCACTAAACTAAGAAAAATGTAAAGATGCTTTTGCACCTAAGACTAACAAGATTTTTTTTTTTGGCATATTCCTTAAGTGTTCTTACATGTATATATATATATATATATATGCAATGTGTATGTGAACTGTGAAGTGTGTTTCACATAGTTACAAACAAAAAAGAAATGTTCGCAAAAAAAAAATGGTGATTCACCTTGTATATTTTCTCCACACCTTTATCATCATCCTCTGTTTCGCCATATCACCTTTGATCCTTGTTAGCATCACCACCCTTTGTTCTCAACCTCATACACCCCCAAAAAAACGATTCCTGAAACATCAACATATCCCTCATCGTTTGGGAGCTAAAGCAAGTGGAGATATCACCGCACCCTTCTCTCTTAACAAACCAGTAGCTTTATTGGTCAATGTATCAATTGGCAGCCCACCAGTCATATAGCTCGTCCATATGGACACAAGCAGTGATCTTCTGTGGCTACAATGTCATCCATGCTTCGACTGTTATCCACAATACCCTCCCATTTTCTACTCTTCCTAATCTTATACTTACCACAACGAATCATGCAAAACCTCCAAAGACTCCATACCTAGATTAACTATCGATGCCAAAACCAGATCTTGTAGTGGATACTCTGTGCAATTCATGGACAGT